ATGTCTATTTCGCAATATTTTGTTGCTTTTTTTTGTTGGACGAGGGTATACATCATTTGATACGGCCAAAATGAGCCTCATCGAAATAACGGTGTTAGAATCTGGTTCTCTTTGGGTCAAATCCGTTTCAGGACATTAGGAGTCGATCTAGCGATGTCCGTTCTGTCTGTCTGTTCGTCTGTCAATCTGGACTATCCGATTTGGTCCAAACTTGGTACATCGTATTGTTATTGTCGAACTTAGATCAAATTCGGAGATGGGAAACATTGGTCCACACCTGCTGGTACCTCCCCCGTAAATTTTCAAAGAAAATAATTTATCTCATAGAACAGTGAAAGGATCATTCGATTTTGTGCAAACTTTGCAAATCTCAATATTTTGTCATTGCTAAATTAGGATGTGAAAATAAAAAATATCGGTCCAATCCATCAAGTACCTTCCCAACAAAGGATCCACATTTTGAATAATTATAACTCTTATAAAATGTGAACTAAGCATTCGATTGTCTTAAAATTTCACATATCCCAATATTTTCACTAACATCTGGTGTAGAGATGAGATATACCGGTCCACTCCTTCCGGTATCTCCCCCACAACGGGTCAACATTTTGAATAACCACCACGTCATAAAACGCGAAATGAGCATCCGATCCCTTCAAACTCGCCACATCTCAATATTTCTATTAACACAAGATCTATAGTGAAAAAGGTAGATATCGGCCAACTACTTCTGGCAACTCCCCCAACAAAGAAACAAAATTTTTAATAAGTACTACTTTTATAAAATGTGAAATAAGAGTCAGATTGTCTTCAAATTTCATACATCCCAATATTTTTATTAACATACGATTTGGTATGAGGATGGAATATAACAATAATCTCCTTCTGACACCTCCCCCACAAGGGGTCAAAATTTTGAATAGCAATGAAGCTCGTAAAACGTAAAATGAGCCCCCGATTTCTTTCAAACTCATCACTCCACAATATTTCCATTAACACAATATATGAAAAAATAGATATCGGCCCACTCCTTCTGGCACCTCCCCCACAAAAGGTCAAAATTTTGAATAATTATGACCCTTATAAAATGTGAATAATTATGACCAATATAAAATGTGGAATACGAGTTCGAGTGTCTTCAAATTTGAGTGGCAGGATGTGATATATCGATCCATACCTTCTGGTACCTCCCCCACATCGGGTCGAAATTTTCATTAGGTTCGTAAACATGAAATGAGCGTCCGATTCTTTTCTAACTCGTCCCTCCCCAATATTTCCACTAACACAAGATCTGGAGTGAAGGCGGAATATATAAGCCCACTACTTTTGATTAACAATAATCTGTAGACTTTTGAAAACGTCTTTTCGACCACACATTGTAGTTCTTTTTAAAATATTTGGTAAGGACTCCATGTCAAAGAATCGTGATTATTTGAAAACATTTTTACAAAAACTTTCCTTGAATTTTTAAAATCGGCGACTTCTTTTTACAAAACTACAGATTTTTAAGGAATATTACTTCAAAAATTCTTATGAAAAAATCGATGGTAAATTTTAAGGCACTTAAACTCAAAAAGCTCGCTCTGACTTAATTCTATTCCAAATAATATTTTAATTTTCTGAAGCAATTAACCGTTATCACAATACATTTAATTTAAAATCACAAATAATTTATGTTTTCATAATTAAGTTTATTGTGATTATCAATTATTCCTATTGATCCGAATGAGAATTTGTATGATTTCAAGTTCACATTTAAGCAAATATTCTAAAGAAACTAAACAGCCTTTAAATATTATTTCTCTTTTTGCCACAATAAAATGTATATTGGCATATTCTTCTACCGATATATATATAGCTCAATGGTTTTAAATTAGGGAAGTTTGCAAAAAAAGAAATTTTGAAAATTATCAAGACGTTTAAATAGATTAAACAATCTAAAACACCATAGTGTGGATTATTCGAAATTGCTTAAATCAAACAGGGCAATAATTGTTTTTGTTTTGTTGATAATTTGCAAATGCGTTTATCAACGATGATAATTGCACTGTACAAGTGTTTTGAAGTAGCAGGGCAGGCCCATATTGCTTGGCACTTCACTTTTCAGAGCAATGTTTAAAGACAATTTAGCCATGCTTTTCCGGCTCCTACACAACTTAAATCTCAATAGAATATCTGATATCTATGTTATAATTGGCACAATTACACTGTGCAAAACAAAAACTAATTACGGTGAGAATCCAGTAGATTTTGAAAGTAGAGTTTAAAAAGAAGACACGTGTATCGGCGTTTTGAAAGTGAAATAGAGAGGACAAGATCCCCCCCCTCTTTCGGAAATAATTTTTCGGAAAAAGATTCCTTATAATCCCTGCATTTTAGGTACATTAAAGTACAAGAAATATTTTAACCCTCAAGCAAGTCATAAAATGGGTCTATTTGGTCCTTTTTCGAATAATGATTAAAAGCTCCCCTTAAATGGGATTATAGCAAAACGGATCTACAAAATTATTTGTCATAAAACTCTACTATAGGTTTAAGAAGACATCAAGAGTGCAAGTTTATGGAAAAACTCCGACAAAGCATCATTTTGGAAGGATGTCATCAAAGGCAAAAATATTTTTCATCAAATTTCACTATAAGTTACCAAAGAAAAGAAATCTGTACTTCCAACCTATATCAAAAAAAAAAAAAAAAAAAAAAACAGTAAAGAAAGTCCTAAAATCGGGCGGGGCCGATTTTATGATATCCTACACCACTTTGCTAATTTGTATTGCCCATTTGGTGCACAATTAATTTGAAATCGGATAAATATATATATGGAAGCTATATTCAAATCGGAACCGATCTCGATAAAATTTGGCAAAGAACTTTCTGACCTGTATTTGATATATTTCCCTGAATATCGTTGTTACAGAGTGCATATTACGGCTGTGAGTAACAAATATGACAAATCGGATGAACAGTATATATGAGAGCTATAGCTATATCTTAACCGATCTTCACCAAATTTGAAATAGTGGCTTCTAGACTCAATTCGGTCGTAAGTGCCAAATTTCATCCAATGTGGGCAAATATTAGACGTTTGGTGCACAATAAAAAGTAAATCGGATGAAGTTATGTATGGGAGCTAATTTGGCACATGCATTTCTGGGCTGTATTTGATATATTTCCCTAAATATTGTAGTAACAGAGTGCATATTACGGCTGCGAAGGGCAAAAATAACAAATCGGATGAAGAATATATATGGGAGCTATAGCTATATCTGAACCGATTTCGATCAAATTTGGCATACTTATTTTCAGGTCTAATTTGGTTATATGTGAAAAATTTCATACTATTCGGGCTGATATTACACCTTTGGTGCACAATAAAAGGCAAATCGGACGAAGATATATATGGAAGCTATATCTAAATTTTGACCGATTATCTCCAATTTCAATAGGGTTCGTCCTTGGGTCAAACAAATGATTTGTGCAAAATTTCATCTGGATAGGACAATAATTGAGACTGAGAATGTGATTCTATGCAGATCATCAAAAGGAACTATGTGTCTATCTCGTTTCCTTTTGCCTGTTACAAACAAATGCACAAAGACATAATACCCTGACCACCTTGTGGTGTAGGGTATAAAAATAGCATTCCAAAAAAAAAAAGACAAAAAAGCAGAAAATATTCTGTTTTTTTTTTCGATAAATTTTTCCTTGGCCTTTTTTTGAGTTGACGACAGAAAGTAACATAAAATTTCGTTTTAGTCAGAAGGTTTCAAAAGAAGAAATATTTTACACAAGATTTCACTATAAATCTCAGAATATACCATATATCTACATACAATAGTTTTTAAGAAAATTACATTCGAAATGTATATACAACAAGCAAAAATGATGTATTTTTTACTTTTAATCTAACATATTTCCAATTTATGTCAATAAACTCCCTTTATATTTAATGTTTTTGGGGAAGGGTCCAAGGAAGAATTCCCTAGATCAAATTTTATTGTGAGTCTCTAAACAAAATAAATGTTAATATGTAATATATGTACCAGTGAAAATTATCATAGATTATAGTTAATAACAAGTAAAATAAACAGCAAAAAAAAGTTCGGCGGGGTCGAAATACACGCCACCATTTGAAGGAACTTCAAAAATTTCCAAAAAATTCCATCGAAAAATATTGCTTAAAGGAAACCCGTTATAAGGGGGCTATACGATATCGTAGACCTAGTACACGATTCTCTTTCAGGGGGTAAAGTACTCACAAATACCTCCTTGTGCGGAGTTTCAGACAATTCCATTAAAAAATGTGGCTAAAATAATAATATGGTGTGTATAAGATATCGTGAACCTATATAGCCCATCTTCGAACTTGACCTGCCGGCAGAACAAATACTGATCTGTGCAAAATGTTAGCTTCCAACTTTTGATTTGTTTTGACTTTAGCGTGATTACAACAGACGTACATGCCTAAATCGTCTTAGACATTGGTACAAATAGGAGGAAAAAGGCCAAAGAAAAACTACTCAAAAAAAAAAAAAAAGAAAAGAAATTAATAAAAAAAAACAAATAAATAAATAAAAAAAAAATCACTTGTTTTTGGTAATTTTGGAAATAGAGATTACTTTTCTTTGGTGGCTCATAATGAAATTTAATGAAGAATAATTTTGTCTCTAATGTCATTATTTTACAATCATACTCTGTTGGAGGATTTTGAATTAACTAACATAAAGAACGGATTTAACCCTAAAATGTGCTTTCTCTGTAATTAAAAATTATGAGATGATTTGTTGGCAACTCAAAATATGGGTTGGAGAATTCCTCTCCTGGTCATATTTAGCCTGATTTACTTTTGAAAATTAAGCCAGATTTCTAATTCTATATTACTTTGTTTTATTTTGCACAATTCGTGTATCGATATTTTTATAACTGTTGGGTTGGGATTCAACGCTTATTAAATATATATATACAATTAAATTAAAATTGTTTTTGAATTCATTCATACAAACCGGTATGAGATGCGCTTTCCAAAATCTCGTCTGACGTCTTACTTAAATTATTGATTTTTTCTTTGAGACAAAAATTTTTGGCTTCACTTTAATTTTGACAATATTATATATTCTTCTGCTCCACCAATTTGCCGATTCACTTTCAAATTGAAAATTTCGTACCAGCCGCTATCTCTTTTATTTAAATTTTGATGCACAACTGATAATGGAAGTTGAAAATTATTAGCAACGAAGTTATGTTTGCAAGCAGGCACGACAATAAGAGCTGTTTTGCCACAGTGTCACAAAAAAGTGTTACGGAGTTGCCATATGTGTTGTTTTATTATTGTTTTCCATTGCCAATTGGCACACTGCATTACCACTTAACTGGGTTTGGTCTACACTAAACAGTAGTACCGACAAATTAACGTTCATTTCATTAATCTTATTTCACAATATTTTAATGAAAACAATTTTATGGGAATGCAAAGGAAAAAGTGGAATGCAAAGGAAAAGTGGCTTTAAAAGTGGACGTTTTAAATATTTTTCAATAATAAATGTTGATTTCAGCAAAACAAACTTGAACTTCTTAAAGTATATTTTTAGTACTATGGGAGTTACATGTTTTTTGATATTTTTCCAAGCATGTCAAGGTAACAAATGTAATTGTTTCTATATTTTATTCAGGACTATCAGAACTTGATTCGTTGAATTTTTAAACATGTGTTTTTTCAGGACTATTATTAAAATGGATTTTTCAAATATCTTTCCCAACACTATCAGAGCAGTAAACGTGGATTTTTAAACTATTTTTGCAGGAGTGTAAATGTGGATTTTTTAAATATATTTCCAGCACCATAAGCGTAGATTTTGTAAATATTTCCTCTAGGATTGATAGTCCTAAAACGTGGTTTTCTAAATATTTTTTTAAGGCCTACCTGATTTTTGGAACTCAGAGCTATAAGCTGGGATTTTTTTTGGTTTTTTTCCAGGACTATCAGAGCTATAAAATTATTTTTTAAATATTTGTCCCAAGACTATCAGATCTTTAAAATGCAGTTTAAATATTTTTTCCAGGACTATTAGAGCAACAACCATGGATTTTTAAGTATTTTTTCAAGGAATATAAGAGTTATAAAAGTGGATTTTTTTAAATAATTCTTCCAGGACTATCAGAGCTATAAATTTGGATTTATTAAATATTTTTGCCAGGACTATCCGAATTAAAAACGTGGATTTTTTAATATTTAGCCAGTACTAGTACTAGCACCTATAAACGTGGAGTTTAAATTTTTTCCTGGTCAATGAGTGCTATAAACGTTGAATTTTTAAATATTTTTTCAGGACTATCAGAATTTTTTTGATAATTTTTCTAAGACTATCTGAGCTATAAATTTGATTTTTGTAAATGTTTTCTCCAAGGCTATCGGAGCTATAAACTTTTTTTTTTAAATATTTTTTTTTCGGGACTATCAGGGCTATAAACGTGGATTTTTTTAATATTTTTTCCGGGACTAACAACGTGATTTTTTAATAATTTTTTCAAGACTAACAGAGCTACAAACGTAGGTTTCTTAAATAATTTTTTTCCAGGACTATAAGAGTTGTAAAAACGGATTTTTTAATAATTTTTCCAAGACTATCAGAGCTACAAACTTGGATTTTTTTCTATAATTTTTTGAAGGACTATCAGCACTATAAATGTGTTTTTTTTAATAATTTATCCTGGACTATCTGAGCTATAAACGTGCAGTTTTTAAATATTTTTCAAGGACTATCTGAACTATAAACGTGGATTTTTAAAATATTGTTTTTAAATTTTTTTCAAGGACCAATAGAGCTATAATAGTGGATTTTTTAATATTTTTTCTTGAGCTATATGAGTTATAAACGTGGATTTTTGAAATATTTTTTTCAGAGCTATCAGAGCTATAAAAGTGGATTTCTCAATAATTTTTGAAAGACTATCAGAGTTAAAAAGTGGATTTTATTAAATATTTTAACCAGGACTATCTGAACTATAAACCTGGATTTTTCTAAATATTTTTTTTCCAGGACATTTTTTTAAAATACATTTTTCAAGGATTAACATTATTTGATTAAGAATTAATCAAAGACTACATAATATTTTTTCCAAGAATATCCGTGTTTTTTTAAATATTTTTTCAGGACCATCTGAGCTATAAACGTGGAAATTTGAAATATTTTTTCCAGAACTGTCAGAGCTATGAACGTGCAGACTATCAGAACTATATGTGTGGATTTTTTAAATTTAATATAACTTTTTTGGACTGTCAGATTTTTAAGATAATTTTTCCAGGACTTTCAAAGCCATAAACGTGGATTAAAAACGTTCCCGGAATTTTCAAATAATTTTTAGTTTTAAAATATTTTTTTCAGGGCTGTTAGGTTTTAAAAATAATTTTTCCAGATTTTTAAAAAAAAAAATTCCAGGACTGTCAGGGCCATAATCGTGGATTTTTTAATATTTTTTTCCAGGTGTTTTAAAATATTTTTTAGAGCTGTTAGATCAAGAAATTTTAAAAAAGTCCTTTCCTGTACTTTTAGATCTATAAATGTGTAGTTTTTCAAGGACCATGAACGTGGATTTTTTAATAATTTTCCAATTTTCGATTCCATAGATATAATTGTGAATTTTTAAGTATTTTTCCCGATTTTGAATTCCACGATTATAAATGTGAACTTTTAAATATTTTTCCATTCAATAAATATATCTTCCTTCTAGCATAAATAAAACCATCAGTTTGTGAATGAATTATTTATCTTACATTTCCAAGATTTTATTGGTCAAATAGTTCAACTTAATCTATAAATACAAATGTACGATAAATATAAAATTAAATACAAAATAAAGTAATAGATTATGTTTTGAAATTGTATATGGTTTTTTTTGGAAACACTTGTGCTAATATTTGCATAAAAGAAAAGTTAGTAAAGTGTTTTATTGCGGTGCATATAAATGTGCTAAAGGTCAAGATAGTTTGAGAAATTCTGCTAAAAAAGAGAGGGGAGAGAGAGGGAGATACATAAAACTTCGATTAAAATTCTTTAGAATAATTGTAGAATTTTATCAAGTTTTGAAATTATTATTTTTCAAATAATTTAGGATGTAATTACAGCTTTGGAATATTGAGTTATTATTATTATTATTTTTTTATATGAAATAACTGCAAAGACTTAGACATATGGAGTTGAGTAAATATGTAGTATCTTTTTAGTAAATATCTTAATTTCTTATAAACTTATTTAAAAATTATAATTTAAGTAACTAAAATACACTATATTTATTTAAAATACGATTTATTTTATTTATTTAAAATATAAAGTGGTGTTGTCAAATGCATTTATGACGAACTTGCTGAAATAAAACGGAGTATTTAAAACATACATTTAAATATAAATACATTTCTTAAACCTTTTTATAAAAAAAAAAAACAAAATTTGGATTCTGAAAAGTTTTTTTTATAATTAATATTTTTCCAATCCTCATTCAAATGTGCATTTTTTTAAATACTATAAAGTAGTGAAGATATTGTTAACATTGGATGGACATGGATGATAAAATTGTTGTTTTCTAATGAAAGTTTGTATTGTTCGGACACAGCTTTTTTCTAAAAGGGAAACATATGCCTTATTTAATGTAAAATTTTTAAAATAAAACTTATATCAACTTGCTCTTCATAAATATGAATATAATAGATTTTTTTATAAATAAAAGAAATGGATGTTGTCAATTTTTTCCTTAACCCATTTCGCTCCTCTGTTCGATTTCTCCAATAGTAAAACCAACCCTTTTCAAAGAAATAGGTAACATTTAAATTTTTGTGTAGGTGATAAGATTCTGCCAGTAAATAAAAAATAATCGTAAAATAATCGTGTTTACTCCATATTTTATGATACTAGTAAAAACAACAACTGAAAGCAGACGGCTTTATCGACGATGGGGAGTGACAGGAAATAATGCGCAACGCGTTCATTCTGTTTTGTCCTTGAAGAAGGCAGCAACGCTTACAAAGCTGTCATTAAAATTTCGAGGAAAGAGAAAGCCAGCAATAGGGTGTGTGAGAACATAAGAGGCTTGGATCACGCCCGGTGAGACTATGGGGAACACTTCTTTCTTAGGGGTGATTTAGCATCTACAGTCTGAAATCCATGCCATGGAATAATATAAGGGGGGGAGGTAGACCAAAATCATAGTGTTTATATATCCAGTGTTTAGTCACACTTAGCGACTTTGATTTTGAATCCGACTGGAACACTAACAGGAGTGTTAATAATATTTCGCCTAAGGAGACTTTCACCAAAATAATGGATGAAGAGAGAAAGAGAGCATTGCATTTACAAAAAAATTTAGTGAAATTGATTAGTATGCAAGTCACGTCCGTCAGAATTCGATTTTTCTGGATAAAACATAATTTTTTCATCAGCATATCCTAACTTCAATAGGAAAGATATTAAAACTGGGGTAGCCAAAACAATAAAAAAAATATTTTTATGCGGGCTATACCAAAACGTGGACCTGCACAGAAAATTTTTTGTCATACATCAAAAACTAAATTTTGAGACAATTCCGGTGAATAATGTCGCTAAAATCATCAACATATCGAATATCGGGAGGTACCGTTATATGGGGGCTATACGAAGACGTGAACCTGCACAGACACTTTTCTGTCATAGGCTGTAGCATCCATTACGAACATCAAATACTAAATTTAAAACAATTCTGGTGAATACTGTCGCTAAAATCATCAAATTACCGAATATCTGCAGGTATCGTTATATGAGGGCTATATCAAAACGTGGACATATATGGCTCATTTTCAATACCAAATGTCCTGCAGACATAATATAGATTTGAGTAAAATTTTATCAAACCTACTTCATTTCGTATGGAAGCTAGAGGGATTTCCACAAAGGGACAGACTGATAGACGGGCGGACATGGCTAAATCGACATAGAATTTTATGCTGATTTTTGGGGGAGTCTAAAATGTATATTTCGAGGTGTGGTGTTCAATGGTGGAGGGTATAAAGATAGTAGAACGCGGTTACTAATGTTTTTTCAAAGCCTTGATATTCTGTAAAGAAATCACGGACAGTATGAAAGAGAATTATGGCTACCAAAACTAAAGCTATTTCAGGTACAGATCCTGCTATGAAGCGATTTATTCGGGACCACCAGATCTTATATTTTTGAAATAGAATTGAAAGTTAGAAGGCCATATGCCCCGACATCAAACGAGGAGACTCTCAGAAAAAAAAAAAAAAATATGGGAAAATATTTAAAGAACTGCTGAGAATCAGGTCAAGAAAGAAATATTGAATAAGGAAAGTAGAAGTGATCTCATTGAGATCATGAACTTTGATTTCAAGAGCGATATGCTGTGGATTAGTTTAGTTTCACAGTCAAGCAAGGAGACTTACAAAGAGACTGTGCTTCTAGCAAACCAGAAAAAAACGGTCCTCCGTTGAGACGTAGCCAGAAAATGCCTCTGAAAAAGTTTTGGTACAATTCGGAGGACCCGTGCTTCCAGCGTAACGCCCTTCGTACTACTCTCACTCAATGGTCGATAATTAAATATTGTTTCATCTGCTGAAGGATGGTGCTTCAATAGTGTGTGTGGGTGAGCGATCTCAGGCAGTTTTAAGTCCATATTTTTAGTTTCGGCAACAAATACCGACCGGGTGCTATGTTCTGATACCGCGGATTTAAGCTGGAATTTTCTACTCACACATATGAGAGGTTCTGGTGTGGTTTATGTGCTTAGCCAGCTTTGAGAGCACCCAAAGGTAAGGTATCTATAAATTGTTAACCACAACCACTAATCGATTCCCAAGAGGCCCATTTGTTAGATGACCAGCCCTAGAACCCCTTTCTTTATATTTCCGCACCACTTGAATTTTCCTTGAAATTTCGTCATCAAACTGATGTGCTCGTCGAACCTGACATTTATGGGTCATACTTTTAGGAAACCATTCACAAAAACTATACTTCACTCCCAACTCAACTTCGTCACAAATATGTCTTCTGATTTCAGTTGGCTCCCTTCTCTTTGCGAACCGATGGTTTTTGTAAATGGTTTCCTGAGGTATGACCCATAAATGTCAGGTTCGACTAGCACTTCAGTTAGGTGACGAAATTTTTGGAAGAATTTTTTTTTCGAAATTTTTCAATTCACGTGAATCTGATTCGAAAAGAGAGAGAGAGATGTGTAACTAAACAATTCAATAATATATGCCCCCATGAACATTCTTCTTTTATAAGAAAAATGCATTTTGGACTGCTCTTATTTTGGTCGGCCCAGAAGTCTCTCTCTCTTCAGATACAGCCACAGTTTAAAATTGATTATTTTAGCAGTGTTTGAAGTGGATCCCAGCCAATTGTACCTGAAACTTGTTAGACAGATTCTGCTAACATAAAACGTTGACTGATGTCAATGCTTTCTTGAAAACCCTACCGATGTTAGATAATGCATATCTTCCTATCTTAATACGGCCTTATCTTAAATCTTGCATTGTTGCAAATTTATTTTTAAACTTAAACGATTTTTTTGTATATTCCTTAAAAGCCATGGAAATATGTTAATACTTTTGCTTTAGTTCTACATTCCGAACAATACAAACTTTTATAAGGTGTTAATACAAGATTGTTAATTGAAACTTACTCTATTGTACAGGAGGCTACCTAAGGATATAACATAAATTTAAATTTTATTTTTCGTTGTGGTTAGGGTTGCAGAAGCGAGAAATTCAATAAAAATGTGTGTTAGAATCGTTTAAAAATATGTCTGCCCCAAATTTTGCAGCAAAACATTTGAATTTTACAACTAAACTGAAAATGGCGCCCAATGTGTGAGTCTTTTCCTTGCCATTAAACTACAGCCCTGCTTAAATAAATCCAATGAACTTAAATTAAACTTACCCTAAAAAATATATTATTGGTGTATTGTTTTATTAATAAATTAGTAACTTAACCTAGGAAAAATGTCTTATATCCTAAGCGACCTACACTAACAAACTTTGAGACAGAACTTGTGTCAACAAATTACATGTGTATTGCACAAAAGCTTTTCAAGTAAACAAATTTCCTATACTCTAATAATAAATGCTTAAAATACAATTAGTAAAGACCCGATGGTATATCGGTGACCTTGGAGCCTTGGGTATACGAACGCGTTCGTGTTGTCACATTGCTATTGTTCAATAGATCCGGCCTTGTGCTTTGCTGCTGCTGCTGGGCATAGGGACCAATGCGTATGGTGGGATTACTGCCAAAATAAATCTGCTGATTACTTCGTGACTTTTCACGATTGCTGGGCATTAAATTGTTGCGTTTGCCATTCTGTTGGTCGGCCTCGTTGTAGGCCTCATTATGGCTGGCAAAGACAGCCTCAAGGCGTTCAACATTCTTGGTGACTCGGCGAGCCTGCAGGGCAGCCGTTAAATCCGGCTTTGGGTATTTTTGGGCCGTATTCATGTCGGTCATAAAGAACACTCCATTGAATTGTTGTGGCGGTACACCATTGGTTTCGGTGAAACTTTCCCGTTTTGGCGCCCCACTCATGACAATGGCATTCGCGTTGTCCTCCGTCTCATCGGCAGGACTATCCGAGCTCTCACGCAATGCCTTCATTGTGGGATCATCTTCACAATGGCGGGCATTCATGATGACATCCAACAGCTCCCGGGTGGTATTGTTGGAGTGTTGTTTATTGACGACATTTTCTGGAATTTCCGGAGATTCCAAACCATTGCGATGAAAAGATTTATCCTGATCCTGGATGACATAATCACTTTCATCGAAAAAGGTCTTCAAGGCGGCCACCTCTTGATTGGGATTAATGGGTTTCTGCAGCATGAGCATACCATATTCGGAACCATCCAAATCGGAACCTTCTGGCTGTACCAAATGGGCCAGTGATCTGGATTTCCTTGGCGGCTGCGGCACAATATTTTTGGGGACAATTTCTTTTTCCTTGGCTTCCTTGCAGATTTTATTGAATTTACATTCATTTGTGGAGATTTGTTTCTCGGCTTCATTCACCACATTGTCCAGCTCTTCCATGGCATCCTCAATGGCGGGATCGGCCGGTAGTTTATCGAGTTTTTTACTATTCTGTGGCAATACCAAAATCGGTACCGGTGACAATGAGGGTCCCGTATCCGAACTACTGATACCCTCATCTTCATGTTCTGAGGAATCTTGTTGCTTGCCGGGTGGTATGTGCCGCGGCAGGGTGACCGGCTGTTTATCCAACGACTTGAAGGTATTCTCATTCTGAGCTCCCTGTAAACGGAATATTTCTCTTTGCAATTCGGCACAACGTTCCTGTAGCCTCCGTTCCATGGAGGTGAGTACGGCCTTTTCTTCGTGTAGGATTTGTACCCGACGTTCAAGGATTACCATTTGACTGCGGACGCGGTCTGCTTCCCGCGATTGGGTGATCATTTTGTCCACATCCACATAAATGTCGTGGAATTTTTTCAACTCACTGCGCAACACATCCAACCAGGGTGAGGAGGAGGAAATGGTCTGAAACGGAGGGAGAAAATTAGATTTCTTTTTCTAAGAAAAAACATTGAGGACATGTTTTCAAGGACACTCGAAGGTATGAACCTGGAAATCATTGATTTTTTTAAATATTTTTTTATAAAATTCTATCAGAGATTTTTCAGAATTTTTCATAGATTTTTTTAGATTTTTCAAAAAAAAAAAAAAACGACATTTTTTTTCTGAAAAATCCAATCCTACCTTGCTTTGATAGAATTTTAGAAAAAATATTTTTAGAAAATCGATGATTTCTATGATTTTTAAATATTTTTAAAAAATATTTTTTGTTTTAAAGAGCTTTTAAGGATTATCGTAGGTGTAAAACTGGAAATCATAGAAATCTTGGTTTCTTAAAAACTCTTGTTTCAAATTCTATCAGACCTTGGGAGGATCGGATTTTTCAAAAAAAAAAAAAAAAAATCATAAAAATTTAAGTTTTTTTTTTAAATATTGTTTCAAATTCCATCAGAACTTAGAAGGATTGGATTTTCAAAAAAAAAAAAAAAAAAAAAAAAATGAAAAATTCAGGGAGTGTTGTTTTTTTTTTTTAAAGATTTCAGAGGTGTAATCGTAGATTTTTTAGAACATCTGTTCACGGTCAACCAGAGCTGTCAAGGTTCTTTCTGTTGAGAAAAGATTCCCTTACCTTTGCCAAGTTATTAGGATCAAATCCGGCCTGAAACAATTCCGCTTGCAAATATAAACGTTGTTGGAGATTTTCCGAACTTTCCAAGAAGGCATTGATAAATCTGAGGAAAGAAACATTCACAGAAAAAATTGGGCATTAGAAGCAAATATGTCCACTTGGACACCGGAAGAAAGAATTTTCGCCAACTTACCTCACTCCCACCGCCTGCAATTCACCCGAACCCCCACCGCTGTTCAGCATACCCATAAGTAGACGAAAACGTACCGGTTCACTACATCTTAAACGCAGCGTTGACATAGCATCTGAGATGGCTGTGTGTCCGGAGGTGGCCAATTTCTGATTACCATGACCAAAAGAATTTTTATCGCAAGCATTTGCCATCAGTTGCATTGCCAAGATGCGAGCTCGGATACCTTGACCCGTTGCCGAGGAGGCCAAGGGCATCAGGCCAACAGGTGTGGTACCCAGGCGGGCCACGGCCTCTATCGAACGGGAACAGCAAATGTTGAGGCATTGTCTGTAAAAAGATATATTTTAGAGTAGTCATGAGAAGTTCTCCCGGGGCCATAGAATCTTCTACTCACAAACACGCCAACTCATCGAGCAGCGCACGTCGCTGATAGCTTTGCGAATTTCTCGGTACTGTCCCAATATTATTAATGGTATTAATGGGGGCATTAACCGCCTGGGACAATTGTATGGAACGTAATACCTCCAATAGGAGACTAACTCCATCCGAGGGGGTGGCCACAAATTCTTGGACAAAACTGAAACAAAATAAAAATATTTACTTCGATTTTTCTAATACTCAATTTCCTATACTTACCTTGGAAACGACACCCTTAGATCGGCCCGTAATTTCGTTAACAAATCGGTAATACTTGAAAATTGTCTCAGCGACATTTCACTTTCACTTGCCACCGGCGCCATAATTGGACTTCTGAAAATAATCGAATTGAAAAGATATGAGAATTTCTGTTAAGGATTTTTTGAGACTTACTTATAATCGGAATGCTTGTGAGGCAAGGTGGCCGATTTGAAATCATTCTCAGCCGCCGCTGCTACTGCCGCATCGCTGGCATCGTAAATCGATCGTGGATTGGGTCCACTCTGACGTTTACCGAACTTTTTTAGTGCTGCCACATAATCCTCGGGATTGTAGACGGGTGGTCGTTGATTTTCCTGAAAAATGAGTTAATTTTTCAAATTAAAACTTTTCAAGAAAGCCAAAATTTTCTACCGATTAAAGCTAATCCATAATCTGTCTGACGGTCTGTCTGTTGAAATCACGATACAGCCCACATTATATGATGTAGAACTTCAAATTTTTTTAATTTATATTGTGGTTGGTATTGAAAATGAGATATATCGGTCCACGTTTTGATAAAGCTGCCATATAAGGGTACCACTTGATATTCGGTATTTTGATGATTTTCGCCACTTTTTTCCACGTATTTGTCTAAAAATTGGTATATGTAGTTCAATAATAATAGGTTCAATCTCCTGTGGCGAGACATTATATGTATAGGTCCATGTTTTGGTATAGCCTCCCAATACTCGGTATTTTGATGATTTTTCCCACAGAGAAGTCTCAAAATTGGTATTTGTAGTTGTTAATTGGGTTTCGCTCTAGTGGCAGAACATTGAATATCTAGGTCCATGTTTTCCTATGGCAACCATATAACGGTTCATCCCGATATTTGGAATTTTGATGATTTTCGCCACATTTTCCCACGGATTTGTCCAAAAATTGGTATTTGTGGTTCATAATGGATTCTAGCTCCGGTGGCGAAACATTTTAAGCATAGGTCCAAATTTTTGTATAGCCCCCATATAACGATACCTCCCGGTATTCCATATTTTTATGATTTTTGCCACATTTTTCCAGGGATTTGTCTAAAAATTAGTATTTGTAGTTGGTAATGGGTTCTAGCTCTGGTGGCGGAACATGGGGTATATGGGTCCACATTTTGCTATAGCCCACAAATAACGGTACCTCCCGATATTCGGTATTTTGATGATTATTGCCACATTTTACACGGAGTTTTGTAAAAACTGGTATTTGTAGTTCATAATGGGTTCTAGCTCCGGTGACAGAACACTGAAAATTTAGGCCCATGTTTTCCTATAGCGCACACATAATGATACCCAACGATACACGGTATTTTGATAATCCTGGTCATATTTACCCACAAAATAGATTCAAACTTGGTATCTAAAAAGATTTGGTAGATGTCAATCCTTGAGGTTTAAAATTGCTTTTGGAGGTTCTTGTTTTGGTATAGCCCCCATACAACGGCCTCACCCACTTTATGGCAGAAGCTTTTGGTCATTGCAACTTATATTTATTCCTTCGATGTAAAGTCTCGTCCATATTGAAAATTCGCTGAGGTGAATACCGAATTTCAATAAATATCTGTTTCAGCTTTTCCGAAAAAAAATTGAATGCACCGTGGTCTGCGATTGCAGGCTCTCCAACAACTTGTATGTTTCCGAATTGAACACATTTGTTGAATTTTTGCAGCCACCGCTGGCACGAAAAGAAATATCATCCATGTCTTAATTTTCATTAAATTTGATTTTAATTTCAGAACTAATTGCCTTATTTTAAATAACTACCCACACTGTTGGCGCCCTTTCCAATTGTTCCAATAAAAACGGACTTTTTTAGTTGTAATTTTGAGAGAATCCGTTCCAGCTGCTCTTGCACCATTTCTGGCCAATTTTTTTTAAATATCGTTCTTGTCGTGGTCATTGAAAGGCCTATTGAAAAAAAAGTTTTTTCACCAATATCATGTCCTGAAATTTGATCTTTTTGCATTTCGAGCTTATATCAGCCTGTTTAAAGCTATTTATGCAGAACTGAAGTATTCGCAAAGGCATACACTAATGAAAACGAAATTGCACACAAAATAAACGATTTCCTCCGTCTATGTTGTTTGCAGAAAAAGTTCAGCCGGTCCGAACTTTTAATACACTCCACCATTTGGAAGGAACTTTTCAAAAAAAAATTTCAAATAATTCCGAAAAATACAATTTAAATGATGACCTTTTACGGGGCTTTACGAAGACGTGGACCTGCATAAGTATTTTTTTTTTTTTTGTCAATGGTACCCATTAAGATATTCAAATACGAAATTTGAAACAATTCCGCCAAATAATGTCGCTAAAATCGTCAAAATATCGAATAAAGGGAGGTACCTATATATAAAAGCTAAACGAAGACGTGGACGTACATACGAAATTTTTAGGCATAGGCTGAAATATCCATTAAAAACTTCGAATACCAAATTTCGTGAACAATTCGGGTGAATGATATCGCTAAAATCAACAAAATACCGAATAAAGGGAGGTTCCGTTATATGGGGACTGTACGAAGACGTGGACCGACATGGCCCATTTACGAACTTACCCTGCCTATTAGAAAAATATACATGTGTGCAAAATTTTAGCCTTCTAACTCAATTAGTTCGATAGGTCGCGCGATTACAATAGACAGACGAAAATCGCTAAATCAATTTAGTATTTTACGCTGATCTAGACGATATATACTTTGTAGGGTCTATCATGAATATATCGAAGAGTTACAAGCGGAGTGATAAAGCTAATATACCCTCTATAGAATGGTGGAGGGTATAACAATATTTTATTGCTTTTTCCCGCATTGACAACAATTTCGTTTGTTAAAATTTGTTAAAGGCTAGACTTCTGTTTGTATGCCTTTTACATGAAGAGTACCTTCAAATGACTGTTAATAGAGAAAAGTTCCCCGAGATATTTTAGAACATGTCTAAAGATTCCTAAAGGGGCCATCTGTAAGAAAATCTTTTATGAGTTTTATGAATAGAATTTCTAGAAAATTTCTTTATTTTTGTCTAAATCCTCTTTAGACGGAAGGCCTTTTTAATTTCTCATATGTTTATAGAATACTTCACGGTACTGTGGGTCCAATTCGCTCAAATGACCTTTCGATTTAAGTTCCCATTCACATTAAATATCTTGATACCGTGAAACCTCTCCTCTGACAACTTTAGCGTTCAGCCACAGTCAGAATTTAAATGGTAACGCTTACTAAACTTTGAAAGTTGGCAACGCAGACAACGCAATTCACCTTTGTTCTTGCTTCGTTTTCAACATGCATGACGGCGAATACAACCCTATGCGCATGATGGGGAATAAAGTAGGTATTTTTAGATAACCACCGCTGTGGTGATTAACGATAAGAATTCTTATTCAATTCTGTTCTGTGTGTGTGTGCGAGTGTGTTTTTATTTTCAACATTTTTTGTTATTGTTTGTCATTTTAAATTTTAGTTCGTTGTGCGCAGAACTTATCATTCCTTTTGAGTTGTTTTTAGCTTCAGGTATTTTCGTCAGATTTAGGGTCTTTTTAATATTCCTGCTATGAACATTAAATTCATATCTGACTATTCTTATAAGAATTTCATGGCTATGACATACAAGTCCCGTATTGTCTAGTGGTTAGGATATCCGGCTCTCACCCGGAAGGCCCGGGTTCGATTCCCGGTACGGGAATTTTTCTTCTTTACAAATAAGTTCCTAAATTTTGCTAAAATTCTAAAACTATTTTTTTCTATTCAGTACTTTCTCACTTACCTTGCTGTAAACAGTCTGGGACCAACTTGTTTCCGATGTTGTTGACATTTTATACGATGCCATGGAACCATTGATGCTATTACTGCCACAATTGCTACGTTGTGTAACGGAAGATGAGCCAACAACAAGTGCAGCGCCAGCCGTCCGATGATGATTGTTACTTCCAGTGGCTGCTCCAGCTCCACCACCTCCGTTGCCACCACCGCCACTATGAACACCAGACTGTGTATTATTATGTGGCGGTAATTTGGGTGAATTTTGACAGACACTGGGAGCCATTTGATAACTATGGGAAATTGAGGAAACTTCACTGGAAATGAGAAGAAAATATTGAGGAAAGAAATTCATTAGTAACAACAAATAATAACGATAACAACAAAAAGGCAGGGTGTCATTTAAAATATCTTGATTAGGAGGAAGATTATGAAGATGAGTTTGCCAGTTGGTTGGTTGGACAATGTAATTGTTTTGTTTTTCTGTATTTCCATGGATATAGCCCACCCGTCTGCATAACAATTATGCAAAAATTTATGATTATTTGAAATTTATAGCCAGTCTGTCAGCGGGATTTTTTTCCGTCAGTTACATCTTATCTTCGATGGATACGTTTGCCTGCTTACTTTTTTCTAATTGTTGTCAAATCAATTATAATTTCAGTCAGTTTGTGCGTTCATTAAATTGAGTATTTTATGTTTGCGCTGACATCCAGCCAAATGAGTTTTGGGAGAAAAAAAAAATTAACAACAAAAACCACTAAAACATTGAGAGATGTTATGGACAATGCAACACCTTAATGATGATCATTCCATCAACAAATTGAGTAGTTTGCGTTACACTCCCTATTAAGGTGTGGGAGTGATTATTTTTAGACACTAGGTGGGGTTTTGCCAATGAAATTAAACGATAACCTTCAGATTAACCTTGAATATGGTGAGGAAGGTGAAATTGACTATTCGTTTCGGAAAACGTAGCTGATACTTTGAATATATATTTTTGGAATTTTAATCAGTATTGAACATAGCTTTTGCAAATAATTGTGAAATCTGCAGACGGCCCACATTTGGGCGCTCTACGATTCCCGAATCTTTTTTGAATAAATACATTTTCACGTGTTGTGTAATTTATTTACTTAAATATTAAAAACCAGTAATGAAAGTCCTAAAGTCGGGCGGGGCCGATTTTATGATACCCTACACCACTTTGCTAATTTAGTAGAGCTCCGCATAATAATTAAAAGTTTTTATGGGAGAATTCAATCATACACGCTATGATTATAATTATAATTTAAAATTCAAAGGACTAAATATGCCGAAGCATTTGTATCTTTTAAATTCGGAATTGTATTGCCCATTTGGTGCGAAATTAATTTGAAATCGGATAAAAATATATATGGGAGCTATATTCAAATCGGAACCGATCTCGATAAAATTTGGCAATGATATTTCTGAGCTGTATTTGATATATTTCCGTGAATATCGTTGTTACGGAGTGCATATTACGGCTGTGGGTAACAAATACAATAAATCGGATGAACAATATATATGGGAGCTATAACTATATCTGAACCGATCTTCACCAAATTTAGCATATTACATTCTAGACTAAATTCGGTCGTATGTGCCAAATTCCATCCGACGTTTGGTGCACAATAAATGGTAAATCGGACGAAGTTATATATGGGAGCTATATCCAAATCTGAACCGATCTCGATAAAATTTAGCAAAGGTATTTCTGAGCTGCATTTGATATATTTCCCCAAATATTGTTGTTACAGAGTGCATATTATGGCTGCGGAGGACAAAAATAACAAATCGGATGAAGAATATATATGGGAGCTATAGCTATATCTGAACCGATTTCGATAAAATTTGGCATACTTATTTTCAGGCCTAATTTGGTTGTATGTGCAAAATTCCATACTATTCGGGCTGATATTACACCTTTGGTGCACAATAAAAGGCAAATTGGACGAAGATATATATGGGAGCTATATCTAAATTTTTACCGATTATCTCCAATTTCAATAGGGTTCGTTCTTGGGCCAAACAAATGTTGTTTGCAAAATTTCATCTCAATCGGATAATAAATGCGACCTGCATTTTGTTCACAAGAATACATGGACAGACGGACGGACGGACATGCATAAATCGACTCAGAATATGATTCTATGCAGATCATCAAAAGGAACTATGGTCAGACGGACAGACGGACATGCATAAATCAACTCAGAAAGTGATTCTATGCAGATCATCAAAAGGAACTATGGGTCTATCTCGTTTCCTTTTGCCTGTTACAAACAAATGCACAAAGACATAATACCCTGACCACCTTGTGGTGTAGGGTATAAGAAGTAAAAAGTTGGAAAAGTAAAAACTAGAAAGCCAACGAGGACACACCACTGTTGAAGTGAGAAATTTAGTAATTAAACATTACACAAACCATAAATCGTTAAGTGAGATATCTGAGCCAATCTACAGTTCAGTACATCATGAAACGGTTCAAAACAGTTGGATGTGTAGAAAATAAGACAAAAACGGCAAATAATAAAATATTTACCTTGAGTGATGAGAAGTATATTTTACGGCGGATCAAAAATTATCCATTTTAAGGTGCACCGAAGCTCGCAAAAATTGCTGAAATGGATTTGGGAAAAGTATGTTGCCCTCAAATAATAAGAAATATATTGCATAAGTCGAATTACAATGGAAGAAGAGCTAGACACAAACCTCTAATCAGCAAGCGAAATCAAGAAGTAAGATTGCGATTTGCCAAGCAGCGCATATATCAAAAGATTTTTAATTTTGGAAGATTTTGCTGTTCACGGACGAGAGCAAATTCAATCTTTTTGGTTCAGATGGCAGACCTTATGTATGGAGAAAGGCAAATGAAGCGCTCCTTGCCAGTGAAGCACGGTGGTGGGTTACTAATGGTGTGGGATGCATTTTTAGCCTCGCGCGTGGTGTATTGCATTTTATTGGGGGTACTATGGATCAGACTATGTACCTTAACATTTTGAAAGAATGTGTGCCACTCTGTAAGGAAAAGCCTTGACGAAGATTATTATTTTTATCAAGATGATAAAATGATCACAAACACTAAGTAATTGTAAACAAAAAATAGTAAAACTATATTTTATTAAATAGAATGACATTCCTTAAGAAGAGTTTTTCTATGAACCAAATTCCAAAACATGATTTATTTATACATTCTTTTTATACCCTACAACACAAGGTGGTCAGGGTATTATGTCTTTGTGCATTTGTTTGTAACAGGCAAAAGGAAACGAGATTGACCCATAGTTCCTTTTGATGATCTGCATAGAATCACTTGCTGAGTTGATTTATGCATGTCAGTCCGTCTGTCCGTGCGTCCGTCTGTCCATGTATTCTTGTGAACAAAATGCAGGTCGCATTTATTATCCGATTGAAATGAAATTTTGCAAACAACATTTGTTTGGCCCAAGGACGAACCCTATTGAAATTGGAGATAATCGGTAAAAATTTAGATATAGCTCAAATATATATCTTCGTCCGATTTGCCTTTTATTGTGCACCAAACGTGTAATATCAGCCCGAATAGTATGGAATTTTGCACATACAACCAAATTAGGCCTGAAAATAAGTATGCCAAATTTTATCGAAATCGGTTCAGATATAGCTATAGCTCCCATATATATTGTTCATCCGATTTATTGTATTTGTTACCCACAGCCGTAATATGCACTCCGTAACAACGATATTCATGGAAATATATCAAATACAGCTCAGAAATATCTTTGCCAAATTTTATCGAGATCGGTTCCGATTTGGATATAGCTTCCACATATATCTTTATCTGATTTCAAATTAATTTTGGACCAAATGGGCAATACAAGTCCGAATTTAAAAGATACAAATGCTTCGGCATATTTAGTCCTTTGAATTTTAAATTATAATTATAATCATAGCGTGTATGATTGAATTCTCCCATAAAAACTTTTAATTATTAAGTGGAGCTCAACTAAATTAGCAAAGTGGTGTAGGGTATCATAAAATCGGCCCCGCCCGACTTTAGGACTTTCTTTGCTGGTTTTTAATTTGAGTAGTTTTTCGATTATTTTTTAATACTTTTCTCAAGTGAAGTTGGTCAAAAACTATATTTTTCTAGTAATCGGCGCCCCCTGCCGACTTCTGGCAAATCTCTTTTTTCTGTTCCTAATGTTGGCATTGAAAAATATAACAGAAAAATGTTTGATTTGTATGTTTTTAAGTTAGAAAATCATCTTTGGACTCCTGTTTACTATTATAAAATATTTCTGACTCCAAAAGTATTAAATTTAATTTACTTAAATCGATTATTAAGTTGACGCCACCACTATTTTTTTCTTTACAAACAAACACTCACTGACGAAAACCGTTATTTTCTCGTAATAAATGATCGGAGCTCATTGCTTTTTTACAGAAAGAGAGCAGAGAACACTGTTGAGTTTTTTTTGCAATTATTTCATTATTTGGTCAATTCTATTCTTAGTTATTTAAGTTTAAATTTCAAAACTGCCGACTACTGGGACATGCCGAACTTAGGCGCATTTACCCTATATTGCATAAGTCGAATTACAATGGAAGAAGAGCTAGACATAAGCCTCTAATCAGCAAGCGAAATTAAGAAATAAGATTGAGATTTGCCAAGGAGCACATATCAAAAGATTTTTAATTTTGGAAGAGTTTGCTGTTCACGGATGAGAGCAAATTCAACCTTTTTGGTTTAGATGGCAGACCTTATGTATGGAGAAAGGCTAATGAAGCGCTCCTTGCCAAAAATATGAAGCCTACAGTGAAGCACGGTGGTTGGTCACTAATGGTGTGGGGTGCATTTTTAACCTCTGGGCTTGGTGTATTGCATTTTATTGGGGGTATTATGGATCAGACTATGTACCTTAACATTTTGAAAGAAAGTTCGGCACTTTGCAAGGAAAAGCTCGGCCTTGACAAAGATTATTACTTTCATAAGGATAATGATCCGAAACACAAGGGCTTATAAAGTGCGGTCATGGCTGCTATATAATTGTCCCCATGTCATGAATACTCCAGTCCAGAGTCCAGACATAAACCCAATAGAAAATTTATGGAGCTATCTCGATGGAAAAATCCGCCAGCATTCCATACCTTGCAAAAACGATTTGATGAAAGGTTTGTTGGAAGAATGGGAAAATATTGAACCTAGCTGTTGCAAAAAAAAAAAAAAAAAAAAAAAAAAAAAAAATGCTAAAAGTATGCCAAATAGGCTACAAATGGTAAAAAAGTAAAGGAATGCATATAAAATATTAAAGTCTAGAAATACTTTAAATTGTAGGAGTTTGTAAAAAATAATGTAAAAAAATTTTTTTTGTTAATTTTAATTTTTGGAAATTATAAGAAAAACAAAATTTTGTCTTTAGCTTTTAATCCAAAATAATCTGTGTTAGTTTTGATGTATAATTCGGAGCAGAAATACTAATTTGTGAGATGTGTCTTCTGGGAAAGAATTTTGTATTGATGTTCGAAATGTATTAAAAAGGCAGAAAAAGCTAAATAAATCCATATTAGAAGAAAATTTGAAGGCATCTGTCGATATTTGGAATCTTGACAACCTATGGATTTTCCTGCAAGACAATGATCCCAAACATACAGAACACATTGTTCGAAATGGGCCGCCCTATCATGACCCACGCCAATTGCAGCCACCATCTCAAAGCACAGAATTTCATTGCTTAGACATCGCAAGTCCCGTATTGTCTAGTGGTTAGGATATCCGGCTCTCACCCGGAAGGCCCGGGTTCGATTCCCGGTACGGGAATTTTTTCCTTCTTTACAAATAAGTTCCTAAATTTTGCTAAACTTTTGTGTTTTATTTTTATATTAATTTATTTTCCTCTTTACTGTGAAATGTTATTGATTACATTTAGGAAATACTTCAAAGAAAAATACGAAAACACCACATGGCCAGTGCATCAACGCTAAAGGAGAAGCTTCGGTATGAGTGGATCAATATTAACTCATATCTTTCAATGTTACAATCATTAGGTACTTAATAAAGCTGGAGAGCAGTGTGCAGATTTTCCAGAACCAATGTAGTCCTCAGGCTACATTTTGATTGTGGAGGAAGAATCAAGAGCACATCACGGATGTCCGGGTTTTTCTCGAGATTTTTTGTAGTATTTTAAGAAAAGTTTCCGAATAATCTGCACAAACTAATTTCATATCATACACACTATATTTCTGTAATTTTCGAATGTAGGAGTAATCATGGTACTATGAAGAGAAGGTAGGCCAACTTTGAAAAAATTGCAAGTAAAGAGGTCTACCTGTTTGGCTTGTAATGTCAGAATTAGTATCAAAACAATAAAAAAAATCAAACAACTTGTTGCATTTATTTTGAATAAATAATTGAAAACCGTGAAAACTGAATGAAAAGTCAACACTTCTTTTCAAAACCAGGTTCTATATATCTCTAAAGGATTATTTCGCTACAAAAACTCTAGATTTTGTCGATGCATACGATGAAAAAACATTTTGAAAACATCCGAGTTTGAATGTTTTCCGAACAATTTTTTGTTATTGAAAAGAAAACACATACATAAACAAATACAGATGACATATTAAGCCAAGAAAAAAAAAAAAACAAGTTAAAAAGCTGTAAGTTCGGCCGGGCCGAACTTTTAATACCCTCCACCATTTGGTAAAAATGTGGCAATTTCCAAAAAAAAAAAAAAAACGGTTAAAAATTCTGTTAAAATCTTAAAAATACCGAATGCTTATACGACGACGTGGGCCTGCATAGGCAACTTCTGTCATAAGTTATTACAATATTTAAATGCGAAACTTGAAGAAAATCTGTTTATAATGTAGCTAAAATCATCAAAATGCCGAATATCGGGGGGTACGGTATATGGGGCCTATATTAAGACGTGGACCTATATGGCCCATTTTCTGTTTTATGCTGCAGTATCTATTACAAATTTCAAATGTCAAATTTGGAACGATTCCGCTAAATAATGTCGCTAAAATCATCAAAATACCGAAAATGGGGGGGGGGGGGTGTACCGTTATATGGGGGCTATACGAAGACGTGAACCTGCACAGACAATTTTCTGGCATGGGCTGAAGTATCCATTATGAACTTCACATGCGAAATTTGAAACAATCCCGGTAAATAATGTCGCTAAAATCATCAAAATACCGAATATCGGGGGATACGGTATATGGGGGCTATATGAAGACGTGGACCTATATGACCTATTTTCTGTTTTATGCTGCAGTATCTATTACGAACTTCAAATGCCAAATTTGAAACAATCCCGGTAAATAATGTCGCTAAAATCATCAAAATACCGAATATAGGGGGGTACGGTATATGGGGGCTATACGAAGACGTGGACCTACATGGCTCATTTTTTGACTCCGGATGTAGTATCCATTACGAACTTCAAATACCAAATTTGAAACGATTCCGCTAAAAAATGTCGCTAAAATCATCAAAATACCGAATATCGGGGGGGTACCGTTATATGGGGGCTAAACGAAGACGTGGGCCTACATGGCCCATTTACGAACTTAACCTGCCTACTGCCAAATATATATGTGTGCAAACTTTTAGCCTTCTATCTAAATTTCTTCGAAAGATAGCGTGATTACAACAGACAGACAGACGGACAGACAGACAAACAGACAGACAGACAGACGGACATGGCTAAATCGTCTTAGAATTTTACGCTGATCAAGAATATATATACTTTGTTGGGATTGACATGAGTATTTCGAGGAGTTACAAACGGAATGACAAAATTAATATACCCTCCATAGTATGGTGGAGGGTATAAAAAATGAAATCATATGGTATCATAGCCCTACCTTGATATCATTGAACCATGGGAGTAATCATATATTTTTTTCTGATTTACTGACCAAATTCAATTTTTTTTCGAATTTCTGAAACATCCGAAAATTTTCTGAATTTTATAGCAAACAAATAAGTATTGAAATTCTACACGAATTCGTCACGAAACTCTCAAGTGAGTACCTCTCAAATAATCCCTGGTCCTACGAGCCGTATAGATTTGAAACGGCACTCGAACCGAGCGGTTAAGTTCTTTCTCTACATGTAGTCCAACGAGCCGAATAGATTTGAAACAAAACCCGAATTGAGCGCTTGGTTGCGATCCCAAAAGACCTTTTCAAACATTTCCCCAAGAGATCTCCTAATATAGCTTCGAAGTTATTTTGCACAATTTTTTGAACACTCTCTATTTTTGAAAACTTACCAAAGATTATTGCAAAATAATTCCAGCAACATGTTGCCAATAAAATGTTGTGTGTGTGTGTGTGCTGCGACAATTTGTAGTCCAAACCAATCAAAGTTTGTAACTCCTTTTCTAATTGAACCAATTCAATCGGAAGGTTAATAACCAGCAATATGACAGAAAAAAAAACTAGACTGATTTGTCGGTTGGCTGGTTAGGTTAGTATAATACTGTTTTAATGGCTAACACTGTGTTGCTGGGTAAATGAGTGAGTGGCACTTCGACATCTTTGACAGCGACATTGTGCGAAAATATTGAAAAACACACACAAAACTAAGTGGGTTGCGGTCGACGGATGCAAATGTGTCTATCTCCTCCAGGGTTTGTCACTCAGTTAGTCAGTCAGCCAGCATACATGCATATGAGATGGGATAATTGCTAAACCAGCAGCATTAACCGCATCGAGCAACACTTCAAACAAGTTTTCACGCACACTTTTTTGTTTTTTTTTTGCCTGATTTCAAGTTTATTTTCATTAAGTTTTTCCTTTCAAGTTTTCAATTTTCAATCTTTGCATGGAAATTAGTTTTGGTGTTTTTCCTCTTCGTCTTCTGTTTTTTTTTCTACGTCGTTAAGTGAGTAGTTTTTTTTTTAGTTTAAATTGTGTTGGCTATTCAAATCAATTTTGCGATAAAACAGCAGTGACACATTTGACCTGCGAACCAAGCTTATACGCCAAATTTGTAATGGAAAAATGCCGGGCGGTAAATTAGATAGCAACGTCAAACCGACATCTTACTCTAAGCCTATGATCTTGATAACTGACTAAAGCGCAGGCCGCCGATGTAATCAAGCAGCCTAAAAGCTACTTGCTGCTGGCTAGCTTCTTCTTTCTTCTAAAAAAAAAAACCAAAATAACAATAATAATCAATAATTTGTTTCGTGTCTGTTGTTTTCTTTCTTCTCATTTCCGAAATATCACTTTCACTGAAACATTTTGGAATCTTTTGAAAACGCGTTTCTTTTCAGTTAATTCAAAAGAAATTTAAATATTGTTTTTATTTTGTCTTTCTAAGCAGAAGAAGTCTAGATCGTTGGAGTTGGATGGATAGGAGGTTGGAGGTGTTGGTGCTGGGTGGTTTGAACAAAACAGAATAACAGTTAATTTCTTTTGAACACACATTTTTTTTTGCCTTACACCTTAGTTGGTTGTATTAACGGTTTCCATTAGGTTTCTTTTCGAATGCAAATCATCATAAATCAGCAGCGAACAACAACAAAAACAACACCCAGACATGTCCAGCAACAACAATCAGCACATTAACAACAATACTTTACTCACAATCAAGATTGATGGGCAGTTAGTCACACTTCATCCAAGCGATTGTCTGTCCACACTACCGCCGCAAAGCACAGAAACACACTCAACGTTTTCATTCATTCATTCAAACACCCATCATCCATCTGTCAATAGCAAAAACAACAAGTAAAAAAGCTGTAAGTTCGGCCGGGCCGAACTTTTAATACCCTCCACCAATTGGTACAAATTTGGCAATTTCCAAAAAATAAAACCCGTTAAAAATTCTGTTAAAATCTTAAAAATAGCGAATGCTTATACGACGACGTGGGCCTGCATAGGCAACTTTTGTCATAAATTATTACAATATTTAAATGCGAAACTTGAAGAAAAATCTGTATATAATGTAGCTAAAATCGTCAAAATACTGAATATGGGGGGTACCGTTATATGGGGGCTATACGAAGACGTGTACCTGCACAGACAATTTTCTGGCATGGGCTGAACTATCCATTACGAACTTCACATACGAAATTTGAAACAATCCCTGTAAATAACGTCGCTAAAATCATTAAAATACCGAATATCGGGGGGTACCGTTATATGGGGGCTATATGAAGACGTGGACCTACATGGCTCATTTTAAGATTTAGGATGTAGTATCGATTACGAACTTCAAATACCAAATTTGAAACGATTCCGGTAAACAATGTCGCTAAAATCATCAAAAAACCGAATATCGGGGGGTACCGTTATATAAGGGCTACAGGAAGACGTGGACCTGCACAGATCATTTTCTGTCTTAGGCTGTAGCATCCATTACAAACTTCAAATGCCAAATTTGAAATAATTCCAGTGAATAATGTCGCTAAAATCATCAAAATACCGAATATCGGGAGGTACCGTTATATGGGGACTATATGATAACTTGGACCTACATGGCCCATTTACGAACTTAACCTGCCTACTGGGAAAAAATACATGTTTGCAAAATTTTAGCCTTCTATCTCAATTTGTTCGAAAGATAGCGTGATTACAACAGACAGACAGACAGACAGATAGACGGACAGACAGACAGACACACAGACAGACAGACGGGCATGGCTAAATCGTCTTAGAATTTTACGCTGGTCACTTTGTTGGGTCTGACATGAATATTTCGAGGAATTACAAACGGAATGACAAAATTAATATACCCTCCATAGTATGGTGGAGGGTATAAAAATATTCAGATAAATATCAGAATGTTTAATGCCGCTGCTGCTGGTGCTGCATACCACGACCGAAGTTATTGGTATTCTTGGTTTCATTGTGTGCCCCTTTCTTTTATTCTTTTGAGATACGTTTTTAGTTTCTTTCTTTGTTGTTTTATTTTTTCGTTTCGTTCTAAAACCATAGTTAATTATAAAATTTCTAATAACTCTTTTCTCTAATTCCTTCGTTTTACGAATAGATTCTAGACAAAGGTTGTTGGGTGTAGGTAAAAGTTTTGATCAGTTCTACTATTCATACAGTTAAGACCATATAAGTGGCATTTTTATACCCTCCACCATACTATGGAGGGTATATTAATTTTGTCATTCCGTTTGTAACTCCTCGAAATATTCATGTCAGACCCAACAAAGTATATATATTCTTGATCAGCGTAAAATTCTAAGACGATTTAGCCATGTCCATGTCTGTCTGTCTGTTGTAATCACGTTATCTTTCGAACAAATTTTGCACACATTACGTTCATAAATTGGCCATGTAGGTCCAAGTTATCATATAGCCTCCATATAACAGTACCTCCCGATATTCGGTATTTTGATGATTTTAGCGACATTATTCACCGGAATTGTTTCCAATTTGGCATTTGAAGTTCGTAATGGATAATACAGCATAAGACATAAAATTATCTGTACAGGTCCACGTCTTCGTGTAGCCCCTATATAACGGTACCCCCCGATATTCGGTATTTTGATGATTTTAACGACATTATTTGCCGGAATTGTTTCAAATTTGGTATTTGAAGTTCGTAATGGGTACTACATCCTAAGTCAAAAAATGAGAAATGTAGGTCCACGTCTTAACATAGCCCCCATATAACGGTACCCCCCCCCCCCAACCCGTTATTCGGTATTTTGATGATTTTAGCAACATTATTTACCGGGATTGTTTCAAATTTCGCATGTGAAGTTCATAATGGATACTTCAGCCCATGCCAGAAAATTGTCTGTGCAGGTCCACGCCTTCGTATAGCCCCGATATAACGGTACCCCCTTAATTCGGTATTTTGATGATTTTAGCTACATTATAAACATATTTTTCTTCAAGTTTCGCATTTAAATATTGTAATGACTTATGACAAAAGTTGCCTATGCAGGTCTACGTCGTCGTATAGGCATTCGGTATTTTTAAGATTTTAACAGAATTTTAAACGGATTTAATTTTTTTTTTTTGGAAATTGCCAAATTTGTACCAAATGGTGGAGGGTATTAAAAGTTCGGCCCGGCTTACAGCTTTTTTACTTGTTAATGTTGATACACATTCCGATCAAATTCTGAGAAAAGCTAAAATAGTCAAAGAAGTTGCGGCACTATTAAATATAAATAACAAATAAATCGCAAAATATGAACTCCTTTAACGTGTTAGATTCGCTTAGCTGATTAGATAATCTAAGTCAGATGTGTTCCGTCTTTGGGGAACATCTACAGGTTGCGGATAATTGAACTCCCAGTAGATATATTGGATAGCTGAGAATTAAATAAGAAACAGACACACCTAAAGTAGCGGAAGGGTCTCGATTAAATGATCGAGTGCCAATCATTTCCTGAGTGTAATAGAGAGGAACAGAAATGATATAAATACGAGAGACATGTTCAAATAATGATAAGGTAAACTCGCCTAGTCTAAATCAGCAGTAACCGACGAGTTGATGGCTATGCAATTCAAAAGCCTAATGGAAGGTTGGGAAGATCCCAATTTCAGTGGACCCTTCTCGGCAGTAGATAGTAAAACGAAATTTCCGAGGCAGATTGCTGTAAATGCCGGGGATGATGCAAAGTCAAAAGATGGGTCCTCATTCAATACAAACAAATGCCCTAACGTCAATGGGCTTTCACCTTGTTCTCCATCCTACGCGATAATTCTTGGACAAAGAGGTAAAGAAAAGGTGAATACTGTGAAAGTCAAGAGTATTGCAGAAATGTCTATAACGAAACCCACAGGCCAAAAGAGAAAAATTGACAATCGGGAGAAGCATAGTCTTCGAGAGCACTCTTCCATGCCCTCTTACCGGCTGTCAATAGACAGCCTCTCCCAAAAATGCAATGGTCTCCCACCTCGTTTCTCCATCCGTCTTCTACGCGGAAACTCTTGGACAAAGTGACAAAGTAGAGACGAATATTGTGAAAGCCAAGGGTACTGCAGGAAAGTCTATAACGAAACTCGAGAGTTCAAATATAAAGAAACCCCATAAGAGAGCGGCACCGATGTTACAAAATGATCATCGACGCATCCGGCCCAAAATAAAAAATCATTGATTAGTTTAGTTTCTTTTCGAAAGATGTGTGAAATACTTTTGTATTATTTTTTTAACTCATTCTTGGCTTGATCGGCAATCAATTCATCATCAACCATTTTAAATAAATAAGCCTCACTATCGAAATTCAATATTATGGTTTTGGATATTGATTCTATAGCTCAAAATTTAATTAAATATTCATTACTTAGTTCAAAGTTCTTTCTTATATAAGATTGTTATATTAATAATTATTGGGCGCCACTTTTCTTTGTATTTAACTATTAAATTATTACATTTCACAATTTCTAACTAAATCCAATAAAGTACCTATTATGAATAGCTCATAATATTCCTATGCAAAAGAGCCCACCACCTCAAAACCAAATAAAAAAGCCAACAAAAAGAAATACCCAATAATTTGCAATGTTAATAATCTGGCACATTATGCCAGTCACATATTTAAAATATAATTGCCTATTTTTACAAGAAACCACAATCACCAGATGACAGTTAAGACAGCAGAAGGGTTTATTTTTTATTAAGAAGTCAGCGCAAGAATATTTTTTCTTTATTTGCTTAGGCATTTCCACTTGAAAATGCATATCTCAGTTTAATAAAAAACAAACTCCAAGAATACCAACACCATCATCAACAACTGACAATAATCAACACAATTCGAATTCACAATAATTTAATGCACCATCGACAAAACAAAGAATGCAGAAAAAGTGTAAAATTAGCAAAATAAAGGAGGTAGCAACAGCAAATATCATTATGCCAGAAATGCAATGCAAACAAAAAAGTTGCCGGTAAGTGGCAAAGAAAACAAATGGCCAGCAATTCGGTAAAATGATGGACGCGAGCTCTGAAGAGGTAGATTCATATCAGAACATGGATGTGTCGAGTGTAAGAATGCAAAGTTGTAGATATTTATTAGTTGGAATATGAAGAACAAGTAAAAAAACATTAAGTTCGGCCGGGCCAAACTTTTAATACCCTCCACCTTAGGGCAAAGGAAACATTAGAAGAAACGTGGCAAAAACCATTAAAATGCCGAATATCGGGAGGTAGCTTTATATGCGGG